CGTAGGCGGCACAGATTCCTGGGCAATACCAACCTTGATAGGTTCCCTGCAGCACGTTTTTATTAAGAAAGTAGCTGTCAATTCGGGCGGCAAACATTGTCTCGCATTAACAACTGAAGGTGAAGTATATTCTTGGGGCGAAGGTGAAGATGGCAAGCTCGGTCATGGCAACCGCATGAGTTACGACCGTCCGAAGCTCATTGAGGATCTCACAGGTATTGGTATAGTGGATATCGCATGCGGTAGTGCGCACTCAGCGGCTATAACCTCGTCGGGTCATGTGCTGACCTGGGGCAAAGGACGTTACGGCCGTCTGGGACATGGGGACTCGGAGGATCAATTGCGTCCAAAACTTGTAGAAGCTTTGCTAGGCTATCGCGCCATTGATGTGGCTTGTGGCTCTGGGGACGCGCAGACACTTTGTATCACCGATGACGACAATGTATGGAGTTGGGGTGATGGTGACTATGGCAAACTGGGACGCGGCGGATCGGATGGCTGCAAGCTGCCATATAAAATTGAAAGCCTCGCTGGTTTGGGCGTTGTGAAGGTGGAATGTGGTTCACAATTTTCGGTGGCGCTCACCAAATCGGGCGCTGTCTATACGTGGGGCAAAGGAGATTTCCATCGTCTCGGACATGGCACAGTAGACCATGTGCGTCGTCCTAAAAAAGTGGCAGCACTGCAAGGTAAAAAAATTGTCTCGATTGCAACAGGCTCGCTTCATTGTGTAGCCTGCACCGATGCGGGTGAAGTTTTTACTTGGGGCGACAATGACGAAGGTCAACTGGGCGATGGCACGGTTAGTGCTATACAACGTCCACGGCTAGTGGCTGCACTGCAGAACAAACACATAGTGAAGGTGACTTGCGGTTCTGCGCACACGATTGCTATGTCCACGTCACAACTGACCGACCGCATGCGTCCACCACCCAATCCACCGCTCGAATACGACTTGGTGCGCGAAATGCCACCGGAAGCGTTGCATGCACGTCTAGTGCTGCTACATCACTTCTCGGAGCTGCTGTGCCCTTGTTTGGCCATGCTGCCAATCACAGGTGAGTTCGTGTAACCTTTGGAACTCCATATACAATTTAACTCGTTTTTTTTTTTTTTTTTAATCTCTGCTACAGGTGAACTTAGCTTGGGTGCTTTAAAGGATGTGCTTGTGTATACCATCAAAGAGGCCGCATTCCGCAAGGTCATACAAACAACTATGGTGCGCGACAAACAACATGGACCCGTGATTGAGCTCAACCGCATACAGGTGAAGCGCTCGCGTAATAAGTCTGGTAATGGTCTCGCTGGCATTGATGGCATGAAAAGCGTTTTCGGTCAGATGGTGCAGAAGCTGCCGCTTCTTACGCAAGAAGCGCTCTCGCTGCCGCATCGCGTGTGGAAGGTGAAGTTTGTCGGCGAGAGTGTAGACGATTGCGGCGGCGGCTACAGCGAATCAATCGCCGAAATGTGTGATGAACTGCAGAATGGCAGTGTGCCACTGCTGATAACAACACCGAATGGACGTGGCGAGGCTGGTGCTAATCGCGACTGTTTCCTACTAGACCCGACACTCGGCTCCGTGCTGCAGATGAACATGTTCCGTTTCCTTGGCGTACTGATGGGTATTGCGGTCCGCACAGGCTCGCCATTAAGTTTGAAGTAAGTGCGTCGAAGTTTTGTGCCTGCAATAGATTTAACGTTTTCATTCCTTTGCAGTTTGGCAGAAGCAGTCTGGCGTCAATTAGCTGGAGAACAGCTACGTCCCTCCGATCTCACCGAGGTCGATCGTGATTATGTGGCCGGCTTGCTTTGTATACGCAACATGGATGACGATCCGAAGGTGTTTAGTACACTAGAGCTGCCCTTCTCCACATCCTCGGCCAAAGGACACGAGGTGCCACTGTCTACGCGCTACACGCGCATCTCGCCGCAAAATCGCCATGAATACGTGCGTTTGGCTTTGAATTTCCGTCTACATGAATTCGATGAGCAGGTTAAAGCGGTGCGTGACGGCATGTCCAAGGTAATACCGGTGCCATTGCTGTCACTCTTCTCGGCGTCCGAACTGCAAGCGATGGTTTGCGGCTCTCCGGACATACCATTGGGACTGCTGAAGTCCGTGGCTACATACAAGGGTTTCGATCCCAATTCGTCGTTGGTCACATGGTTCTGGGAAGTGATGGAAGAGTTCTCCAACCAGGTGAGCGCAATTCAATCTTTACTCACGTTCCAATTCCACATGGTAGTATGCGTTATTTCTTTTTTTAAGGAACGCTCGCTATTTCTACGCTTTGTATGGGGCCGCACACGTCTACCGCGCACCATTGCCGATTTTCGTGGTCGGGACTTTGTATTGCAGGTGCTGGAAAAGAGCCCGCCCGACAATTTTCTGCCGGAGAGTTATACTTGCTTCTTTTTGCTAAAAATGCCGCGTTACTCTTGCAAGGTGCGTAAACATTTTTTATGTGAGGCATACAGTTGCCTTTAGAATAGAGAAAAGTCAACTTCGAAAATTCAAAATTTAAATTTCGAAAATTGAAAAATATAAGTTTTCAATAATTATTTATCATGTTAATCTGCAGTGCATTTCGAATGCATGCATATGTATACATACATGGGGGTATGTATGTATGTAGTATGTTCGAAAACACGAAGTTAAAAATTTTATCCAAATAATGTATTGAAATTATTTGTCAAACAGGCTGTTCTGCTAGAAAAGCTTAAGTACGCCATACATTTCTGCAAGAGCATTGACACGGACGAGTATGCACGCGTTGCCATGGGTGATCCCACCGAAGCGACAGGCAGTGAGGACGACAGCGACCTGGAATCGGCTGCGAGTAATGAGGCCTAAATCAAAATTAACTATTAGTGGAACGTGAACCGGATTTCACGCTAAACAAAGGATAAAAATAAAATACAAATATATTGGATAATGAATTTCAAGGATATTCATACATGCATGCATATACAAACACACACATAAATTTTGTGCAAAATGTAGTCTATAGTAGCAGCGAACGTAGTTTGGTAAGTACACTGAAAAAAAATAACTTATATTTCAATATAAAAAATTCAAAAATAAGTTTTCGAAATCATAAATGAAGTGTTTTTGCTTAATTATTATATATTGCGCTATACTTGCAGCACCTTACAAAAGAAACAATACGACCCCACAGAAACGAAGCGAAAACCGCGTAACCGAAAATGAAATAAATAATTAAATCGCCTCAAAGGCGTAACAAAGCATATGTAATTTCGAAAATCAAATGAATTATAGAATTCCATATTTTAGCAGCATAAATCCGCATATACATTGCAAAAAAATATATATTATGGCAGAAAACCAAAATTCCGTTAATATAGTATTAAACAACACAAATTTTATTGCGAAAAAAATAATTATGTTACTAAGTGTTAACGCAAAAATATTGTGTGACATTGATAAAATTATTGCAGCTAAATATGTTTATGTAAATCACATACATACATCTACACACACATATTTACATACAGGCATTCACACATTGAGTTAAATGCAATTTTATTAATTTTCTGCATTCTATGAATTTATTATGTATTCATTTTTTTGTCAATTTCCATGCAAAAAAAAATTAACAAATATTACAAACCCTGCTAAACTTTAAAAATGGATTTAACAAAGATATTGAATAAAAAATATTTTATAACTTTATATTTACTCAAGAAACAATATGTATTAATTTTAGCAACAAATATGAAAAATGTTTGAGCATAAATCATTTTTTTTAGCTTTAGTGATTTAGTAATTAGCAAATTAGCACTGAAATCAATTTCTTTGATTTATATTATTAACATTTTTTTTTAAATAATTTAACACTGAAATCAAATTTTTGGATTATATTTAAATATATTTATTTATTATTTTATAAATATAATTTCATTTTTTTCTGTTGCATGACTTAAATGCATATTTTAATTTTTAAATTATTTGAAATATATTTATATAAAATATTTGCATTTTTTTTTAACTATATTTGTAGAATTTTATTTTGAAATAATTAATTAACAATTCCTGAAATCAAAAGAGTTTAAAAAATAATATATTTTTAATTTACACTTATCATTTATCCAAAAAATTTTATTAGAAGAGTATGCATACATACATACATATATTCTTAGTTTCATGATAATCTTCTGAATTTTATTTTTTATTATGAGCTTAGCTAGAGAATTGAAAAATTATGCTTTCGTCTAATTTTTAGTGAAAATATGTGCAAATTTTTTTTTTTTATTAATTTAATAGTCTATATATAATAGTCTATATATATGTACCACATATGCATATGTATGTTTGTCTATTTAATGAACTGTTTTAACATTTTTATGAGATTTAGTATCACAGTTATATTTATATAAACTAAATTCTAAAATAAACAGACGCGTACACACACACATATACACACACACACATATTCATAGAACTTCAAAAACAACTATTTTAAAACACATTTTAAATGGAAATTTAGTAAATACTTTATTCGTAACATATTTTAGCTTTTACTATGTAGCAAAACCTTAAAAGTGGAACTAAATTCACCCGAATACCTTATTTGTAGTGTATTTTATGATTAAAAATAAAAGTAAAATGTGTTTGAAAATGCGCAGTTGCTATGCAGCGATTCAACGCAAATTTATGAAATATTAAAAGAACAAAAATTAAATAAAAACTATTAAATAAAAAAAATAATGTATATAGTTTGTATATTGTTAGTAGACGAAAAAAGGCGTAGAAAACTTTTTCGCACCAAATATAACCTCAAATTTGTATTTACATATGCGTATAGTATATAGTGAACCTTATAGTTTCATGGCAGATTTTTCAATATAAAGTGTTTTGCACTCATACATATTTTTCTTTGCTTAAATTTTATTTAAAAGCTGTTTTATTTTATGTAAAAAAAAACTATTTTATTTGTTAAGTTTTGAAAATTTAGTTAATATCGAATAGTTAAGCTGAAATTCGAAAAAATATTGAATTCATAAAAAATATGTAAAAAAAAAAAATCTGTATAAATATCGATTAATTATCGGCTTCGCAGGATTTCATTTTTGCCTGCTGCTTATACGCTTTTACGGGCCCTAAAATGTGTACTTCGCGTTTAGTGGCACTTCCTGCATCTGCCACTTCAACTGTATTCACCGTAATGCCTTCTTCATTACCAACAGTACCACCAGTATTTGTTGTTGACTTATTTGCGTCAATTGCGCGTCGCCAAGTCTCAACATCGCACGCGCTACCGCTGGCATCTCTCTCATATTGATCTGGCGTTGCAGTTTTTCCGTCGTGACAATTCTTACACTCACAATCGGTGCAATGCGTCGCAGTCTTTGAGCGTTTGCGTAAGCGATGTATTATGTAGAACAAGGCGAAGGAAGCGTAAGTCGCCTTGGCAACCTGCCAATAAATGGTTCCATGTAATATGCAAATGTGTGATGTGTATTGTTGGCACTACTCACATTGGCGCGTCCAGTGATGGTGGTACTATTGAAAATTTTATTGAAATTCGACATTTTATTATTGTTTTAGCTGGCAATATTTATACATAATTTTGACAATATTTTTGTATGTATGTATGCTTACGTTTCGAAAATTATGTCTAATGCTGTAGCAAAACATGCACAAAATGTGTCAAATGTTAAACAACACTTCACCAAGTAGTACTCCGAAGTCATCAGCAATTCATATAGAAAGTTGAAGTACTATAGAAATTTCTATAGGGTCGAACATAATGAGAGCAGGTATAAACTCCAAAAATCATTCAATTAGGTTTGAATCTCATCGGTGGTATATTATAGTTATTGCGTGATATTTTCCGCATGCATCGCCATCATCAACTAGTATACCGCCAAGTACAAATATGTATATTATATAGGCCCCGGATTGGATTTCAATGGATTGTAAGCCGCGAACGATGATTGCCTGAATTTGATTACTTTATTGTAAAATTAAAAAAAAAAAAAATTAAACGCTGTGCTTCAAAGCGGGTAATGCATCTTCAGGTAATCCATAGCTTAAGGCAGCATGTTAAATATAACTTACGTTTTTTGCACATCCTGAACGTAAATATGTACATATGTTTGTATATGTATTTTTAGTAAGTATATTTTTGCAGCAGACAGTAGTAGTGTAAAAATAAAACAGCCGGCAGCCGTTAACGGTTTCGTTTTAAGTGTAATTGAAAAACCCGGTTAGCAGATAAGCGGCTGAAAAAAATATTAAAATTATTATTAACAAAGTAGCTGTTATCAGTATAATGAATTGCCGTGTTTGAATCGTTTGTTCGTAAGCTTTCATGTTGACAAACATTCTTATGTGTATTTTAGATTCTTTACCATAGATATGTACATATGTATGTATACTTATTGTCGCTGAAATTTGTTTGCGTTTTTTTTTTTTGCAAGTTGTTGAACTTAATTCCTATTAATAAAAAATTTTGATAATAATTCGAAGTCGTGCATGAATTGACCTTGATGTGCGCAGCGGCCGCAAATTGACGTCCGCCACAATGAAATTTCTTTTGTTCCAATAGTTAGCTAACCTTATACACATGCATAAATACAAATTTATGTACATACATATATTAAATGTGTACTGTGCATGTGTTTGTTTATCAAAGATAATTGTTAACGTATTGGGGATTATTTATAATATAATACGCATTAAATGTTTCCAAAAGATAAACAGTAATAAAGCTAAAAGTTCAATTGTTAAACGAGAGAAAAATATTAAACAAAACACTTTCTTTTCGAAGCATCAAAACAGCTGTGACTTTAAAAACACACATGAGTTCATGCATACATACATATGTATGTATGTACATAAGGAGATCCCAATGACAACGCTCGCGTTCATTGGACTCTTTGTGGTCCACGCGCTCGTTTTGCGTTTTTGGCTGTTTGACCAGAGAACATAAAGACATGTTTATACATTCACTGGATGAACTCCAATGGTTTCATTCATTCATATGTATGTATCTAGATACAACTGTCTACTTTATTAAAACCTAACTATATACAAATGTATGTATGTACATAAATAAACGTATGTAAATATGTACATATATACTAACATTTTTAATTAAGACCAGTCATCGCTATCCACTTGCGATAATTTATTTCACAATTTTAATGCGTGATTTGCATGTTTTTGAAAATATTCTTTTACTATAAAATATGTTATTATTATTTATATATTATTTAACAACTTGGTTTAAATGCATATATACATACATATGTATGTATACGAATGCCAAATTTCAAACCCCTTCGAAACAATAAATGAATTTATTTATTCCCACAGGATGTGTGGGAAATATAATTAGATAAATACAGACATACATATGTATGTATGTATGTAGATATATGGTATATTTATATATAGATATATGTACGTATATAATTCCCACTCTTTCTCAATCAAAAATTCTCCCACTTGCTTGATTAACTTCTAAAAAAAATTGAATCTCTTTTGAAAATGTGTATGTTTTCGTTCATTTAAAGAAAATTTTGAAGTTTTCATAAAACTAGCTATCACATGCAATTGCAACGTGACAATTACAACAAAAGCCATTTAACAAACAAATAAAGTGTAAGCAAATAAAAAGTAAGTACAATTTTATCAAAAACCTAGTTATTTAATAATGATGTGCATAAATAAGTAGCTAGTTGAAATGTGTTAAATTTATTTCTATAAACGAAACGCAAATAAATAGTGCAAGTAATCTTATTTTTATAACAAAGCACGTTCCCCTTTCTGGAAGGTGCAAGAACAGCCGTTGGCTGTTTCCAGCCTTTGGGTAAAATGTATTTGTAGATAATGGATAAAAAAAACATCGCTTCCAGTAAATAAGCTTTCCAATGCCAACTTTTGGGATGTTTTCAAGCCCCAAGAACAAACCAAACACAGTGTTGGCAAGCGTTAATTGCATATATTAACAAAAAAACAAATGTGCAAGAAAATCTGTGTCCCCAATTTTATATTTGACCTGCTAATATTTACAATTAATAACAGAATTCATAGTAAAATGTTTGCACTCGAGCAGCACCGCAAATATGGAATATTTTTTAGGATATTGATATAAAATAAGAACCTTTATCATAAAAATACAAACCCGCTACCAACACTACATATAAAATGTACCAATAGCACGAAAGAGACGGAAGATTTGTGAAAATAACTTTTTCACAAATACGCAATAACGAAAAGCGTCAGAAAAGCAAAATTTTCTGCTAATTCTAACTGCACTTCATAAACCACGAGTTATTTAAACAATGAAGAAATAAATATAATATGTTTTAAAGACGGAAATGATGAAATGGCGTAGAAATAAAGCATAGCATAAAAACCAAACAAAAAGTACACAAAAGAGATAGCCAATGTATCTCTTGTTATATATAACGGCCATTGCGTAGCACTTCCAATGAAATAAGGGAAATTTGTACATTTTCCATTATATATCAGCCTTGCTATAAAAAGCGAGCACTAGCCTGCTATTGCTTAAACGGTATTTAATAATTGTGAGCGAAACACTTTAAGGTTTACCAGCGCTTGTTATTTGTGATAATTTTCTGTGAAAATAAGTGAGCTTTGAAATATATATATATATATATAGGCAAAAAACTTTTTAAAGAAAATAAGCAAACTATATTGAGAATTACTGCAGAGGAGAACCAATATTTTTTATTGAAAAACTAATTTCTTTGTGAAAAAGAAGGTTAAGGTGAGTGTGTTTATTATGCAATTGCAATTCATGCTAGTTTATTTTAATTTTTAATTAAATTTGTGCAATTGTGTAAAATAACGTTTGTTTCAAAGCCAGTGAAAAACGCTGGAAAATTGGTAGAAATGTGTATATGCAAACAGCGCTGCACTTGTGAAATCGATCGAAAATTTTCCCCTGCGCATAATTTCAAGATGGCGTCATAGCTGACCTCATTAGCAATTATGTACTTTTTTTTTACAAGATTTTACATAGAAATTTAAATTAAAATTTTAAATTATAATTTTTAATTAAAAAGTATTTTTTCATAAATGAGCACTATTGCAACAGAAGTTTCTGGAACAGTAATGACTTGCATACAAACATATATAAGCAGTGAATAGTAATATAGGATTAGTCATCAGTTTCTTCATAATTTAACTTGTGATTAAATTAAAATCTTACGTTTTTCATCAAAATAATTAATATTTTTTTTATTGATTTCGTTATTTTAGTACCCTTTCCAAAATGCAAATCTTCGTGAAGACCTTGACTGGCAAGACCATCACTCTGGAGGTTGAACCATCCGATACTATTGAAAATGTTAAAGCTAAGATTCAAGACAAAGAAGGAATCCCCCCAGATCAACAACGTTTAATCTTTGCCGGTAAACAACTGGAAGACGGACGCACTCTGTCCGATTACAACATCCAGAAGGAGTCTACACTTCATTTGGTTCTTCGTCTACGTGGTGGCATGCAGATTTTCGTCAAAACTTTGACGGGAAAAACCATCACTTTGGAGGTTGAGCCTTCCGATACCATTGAGAATGTCAAAGCTAAAATTCAAGATAAGGAAGGAATCCCCCCAGATCAACAACGTTTGATTTTCGCTGGCAAACAGTTGGAGGATGGACGCACACTGTCCGACTATAATATTCAGAAGGAATCCACTCTACATTTAGTTCTACGCTTACGTGGTGGTATGCAAATCTTCGTTAAAACTTTAACGGGTAAAACAATTACGCTGGAGGTTGAACCTTCCGATACAATTGAAAACGTTAAAGCAAAAATTCAGGACAAGGAGGGTATTCC